AATAAGATGTCGATAAATAGCCCTACACATTCTTTCACAACACTTTGACCCGATGAAGTGGATTTAAAACGGCGACAGAAGTATAAAAGATTTATGTTCTAATTGCCAGGAAACTTATTCGAAATCACAGGGAAACGTTTTTCATTATTGGGTCGGTCAGGAACTTCATAAAAAGTCTTGTATATAAATAAGATTCTGCGAAAAACTGATGAGGTTTGCCAGTCAATCAGTATTGACCGTCATGGTCAGCCAAGTCACCCACGGCTAGTTGAAATAAGATAGATTGATCTACGTGATACGAACTAATTAAATGAATAAACACGATTATTTTCGATCTTTTGCTTTGATCGCTTTGAATTGGTCTGAAATCGATTTATTTCACTGATTAAAAGGCATTTCGGATTCTTTTCGCAGTCTTTTCGGCCTGTCAGAACCAACGTATATATAGGTACATATAGAGACTGTTTGGTGGCTGAAATAGTTGCATATTTCTATTGCTGTGAGTTTTCATTATACTTTAGGAAGGTAGGAGCAATCTTATTCCTATTTTCTCTCATTCGAATATACGATCGAAACCTCTAATCGTTTATATTAATCACATAGAATATATATACATATATAAATATATATATATATATATATATATATAATTATTTTATAAAAAAATTATAACATAAGTATGTTATAAAATCACTACAAAAATAGCCATTTTGTTTCAACACACTCTGTGTCTTATCAAGTGATGATGTTGAAAAGAAACCTTTCTTTTCAACATCATCACTTGATAAGACACAGAGTGTGTTGAAACAAAATGGCTATTTTTGTAATTTTATAACATACTTATGTTATAATTTTTTTATAAAAATAATTATATCTGCTCTACTTTGTATTGAGCACACTTTTAAGAATAGTAATTGTTGATTGTTGGAATTCATTCCGTGTATACCAATTATATACTTATATATATATATATATATATATATATATATATATATATATATATAAGTGAACTGAGTGTTGTCTTCAATGTTCACTTTTATATTTATATTTACATATGCTCTATCTCTGATATTGAGCACTTTATCCCATAAATATAGCACAACTTAAACCCATATTTCTTATATTATATATATATGAAGAAATATAGTTTTAAGATGTGCTATTTTACGGGATAAAGTGATCAACATCAGAGATAGAGCGTATGTAAATATAAATCAACACGCAGAGGCGACACGTTGTTTCATGCTAGACGCAATCCTCAGGCGGCCTGACTTCAATGTTCACTTTTATATATATATATATATATATATATATATATATATATATATATATATATAATGAACAATAAACTCAAAAAAATTATCTCATATGGGGAGTAGCCTATTTCGGCAGACGAAGATATCGGTCGTCTGTCTTATCCCCGGCGTGTAATGAGATCGTGTCAGAAACAGAAATTTAAATGTCAGCGGCTGATAAGACAGATGATTTGGGATTTTATTAATTATTAATTATTTTCTTTGTTATAATAAATACATTGAGCTATATTTGTGGATCAGTTTTAATGTTTTATATTACTAGGATCATCTAGGATTATATACCAACGGATTTGTTACATATACTTTATTTATATATATCTATAATATATATTTATATATATATATAAATATATATATATATATGTGTGTGTGTGTGTGTGTGTGTGTGTGTGTGTGTGTGTGTGTGTGTGTGTGTGTGTGTGTGTGTGTGTGTGTGTGATCAATTCACCCACGCAAGGTGATAATGCCACTAAGTTGCAAGAGGTTACTGGGAGTAGAAGAGAATGACCGGAAACTCACTCCTAAACAGGAAACAAGGGATAAATATCTACTCCAGTATAAAAGGTATGTGTGTCAACCGAACGACGAGTGAACAAATTTTACACTTTTTATGATTAGAAAGGGCGCCTGAATATAAGATGCTTCGATTACATGTAGTTTGTCAGCCTAGAAAGACAGTCCTATCGGGGAAGGATTATAAACCTCCGCAGCCTTGCGGTCATATTCAAACCCGGTACCCCGAAAATGCTTGTCTGTTAACACTGACAACCGTCCAGCGACTCTTGCGGCCAAGCCGGTCGGAAATGTAATGCCTTGTATTCCTTTGTATCTTGTCGGTAGGACCGAGAGGGGCGAGCATTGGTCTGGGCAGTGCACGATCTTCATATACCATCGCCCAGGCCTGCGTTCTGGATTGGTTAATCCAGTCTGACCATCCGATGAGTGCACGAAACGAAAGACAGCATTATAAATCAATACTCAACTAGCATGAAGTTGGAGGCCACGGGTTATCTCTGATGGTCGGATCGATCATTGCATTCCATTGGTCAACTACCAACCGCCTCAAGCCGGGCAGCCCAAGATTAGTAGGGTGTTCACCCGCCACGATCTGCCTACTTCAGTGTAGGCTGAAGCTTATAGCTGCTAGCTTAACAAACAGATAGATGACTACGCGCCAAACAAATACCAAAATGGAAAAAGAATGATCGTATCGCAAGCTGGAATGTGCGAACCATGACCACAGGTTTATCTGATGACCTCGCAAAAGAACAATGTTTGACTAAAAAGGGCGAGATAAATGAATGTCTACTATATATATATATATATATATATATATATATATATATATATATATATATATATATGTATATATATATATAAAATTACCGGGTGCAACAGCAAAATTGTCCATTTATTAGATTAAGTTTGAATCGGTGTATCTTAAAAATGATTAAAGATATCTTACTGGAATTTTCAGAGGTTTTTATAACACTATTCGACTCTACTTTGAGCCATATGAATATATAATTATTCTCCAAGCTTAACAGAAGAATCGTGATGAAATCTATCATAAATGAAAATGGCATGATCGGAAGCTCATGAAGGATTGAAATAAAGTTTAAATATATATATTTTTTTCCAAGATCATTTTCCCACTTATTCAAGATGATCTTAGCCCTCTCTAACCTTCTAACTTTCTGCCTCTCAGGTTTCACGTACGATTTCATTTTCAAGTTTTTTTCACTGTTCTTTTAGTGAAACTCCTCTCTCACGTAACAAACGTCGTATAGTTTGTGTTGGTTCTTTTCTAATTGTTCTTTTTAGCTTTAAATTGAAATGATGATCTCTCTTGCCGTTGTAACTTTCTGATCCAGTTTTAAAACTTATTCACTATTCTCTTGATGGTTCTTGAATGGATTTTGAAGATGGAAACCAGATTATGACATTTGGTACCATTACTGAAGGCCTGAATGATCATTTTCCTCTCACTATTTCTCATTTAGGAAGACATTGGGTCTGACACAAAACGATTTTAACCTATTCTCTTTTTAGCTGAATAATTGAAAAGGTTTTTCAGTGATTCTTACAACTAACGGGGTCAGGATGGCTAAATGTCTTATCTGAAAATCTAAAAAAAAAGAAACTCAATTTGTATAGTGTTTTTTACATATTAAACATTTTTGTGAATGGATAATTATTCTATACTGTTACACATTTGTACAATTTTGCTATTACACTCGGTATATAAAGAAAAAATAATAATAAAATAACAAATAAACAAAAAATAAATAAATTCCCAAATTAATTAAGTAATAACCAAATTATCAAACTACGAATGTACACAAAATGAGTTATAACTTACAAACAACACTAGAAAATAGCTATAAATAACTGTTTATGGATCACTTTTTCTACTCAATAGCCTTTAAAATAATTTGAAATATAAGCAGCAGCGCCTACCCAATAAACGTTAGGATAATACAATAAATTGGAAATACTTGATTTTTATATCCATAATGCTCCATTGACAAGCATACATAAATAGTCGAGCAACACACAACACACATGGCCAGAAGATTGCGCTTAAGCATGAAACTGACTGTCACTTCTTGGTGTTGACCTCAGTGTTCACTTTCAGATTTACTTGTACTTTATCCTTGATATTGAGCATCTTTACCCATAAATATAGCATAACTTAAAACTATAATTTTATCGTATTATATACTTGTGTGTGTGTGTGTGTGTGTGTGTGTGTGTGTGTGTGTGTGTGTGTGTGTGTGTGTGTGTGTGTGTGTACAGAGACATTTCACATGTATAAATTACATTAGGCATGTAACCTTTTACAATATAAGAAAATATTTAGTGGAATTTCCAAGTTTCACGTTTACTGAAACTCCAAAACACGTAATAAAAAATTATAATTAGTGAACGTACGCAAAATTTTACAAAGAAAAATAAAAAACAAATGACGAAATTATAAACAACATTCACGCGAATGGTATGTCCGCTGTCTTGAATGTGAATGGTATGTCCGATGTCTTGAATGTGAATGGTATGTCTCATATCTTGAAACTAGATTAAGAAGTTTTGTTCACACATTAATTTTGTGAACAGTTGTCTTTTGTCATATAAAACAAATGGCAAAGCATCTAAAATAGAATTTTAAAGTCTCTCTTGGCTGATAAATTGCGATTTACCAGTTTAAACATTTCTCTTCAAAATGACCGATAACTTAGCAAACGGATTACGATCAGGAAGAGAAGCTGGCATTTTCCAGAGTGTTCCTTTGAAACCAGTGATTATTAGATATTTATTTTATTTTATTTTTTGTATCCCTATTTTCTTACCAACTAACACGTATGTGGTTTTCCCTTTTGACTATTTTTAATTATGTCCATTTTTATCGCACTATTACGTAAGTTACTAAGAGTTACAAAGAATAGGAAGTTGTGGCGAACTATGACCATCCACATACTGAAGGGATATGGCACACAAAAGAAGATTTTTCAATTGTGAATAGATTTATTTTGTTTAAAGCTGTTTTCAAGCATCACCATCATTTCAGTAACATCCATTTCGCTTGCAACAACGTAATCGGTAAACATGTTCCCAAGTTTATATTGCTCAGATTGACCGAACTGCAGCTGTTGCTTGAATTCATTTTATATGGTATCCTCATATGAGATGCAGTGTTATTATTGGCATGGACAAGGGGATCGACGAAGCGTATTCGGATCCCAGTTGATGCAGTCGGCTTTTTTTCTCTGTTCGTGTTTGGCAGATTCATTAAAAACAATTCCTGTCACGTCCTTGAAAAACGTCTGCTCAAAGTGAGCGATCTTGTTCTCCAACTTTACTTGAAGCACCGCGTCTCTTCGTGAAATAGGCGACCATGGCTCTCTGCCATTCCTGATCTATGTGGCATTTACCAGTTTTTCCCGTTTTCTAAGTATCCCGTCCCTGCTTCGCCACTCATTCACACAAGATAGCCAGGTAAGTGTTTATGCTTTGCTTCTCCTCTGTCCCTCTTGGCTTCAATATATCCTGTGAGTAGCTAATTTTCTAAGCCTTCTTACATGTGAGCAACGGCGATGGTTTTGGAAAATATGGAAACAAAAACGGCACTTATACTGAACATCACGAAAAGACAGCTAAAATTTCTCGAGCACATAATGAGGAAAGTGGGCTTAGAAAATTTGATACTCGCAAGATAGATTGAAACGCGAGAAGAGCGTGGATTGCGAAAGCTCGAAACTATCGCATTCTTCGGCGCCAACTGAGGGAGGCTATTAGGACCGATAGCAATGCGCGCTGGAGCAGGGTGGCCGAGGAGGCCGAGAGAGCATCTACGTGTGGAGACACGCGCAAACTCTACCAGCTGCTGAAACAGGCTGGTCGGGGCGCCATTGGACATGGCGACACGCTTCTTTGCCGGAGATGGATCGATCCCCTAACCGAAGTCGCTGAAAAGGTCAGTCGATGGCGCGAACACTTTGACGTGCTCCTCAACCACCAGCCCCCCGCTGTCCAGTTAGACCTGCAACCTGCGGATGGAACTTACAACTGCAGCGTTGATCCGCCAACAATTCAGGAGATTCTGTCTGTCCTTCGTCAGCTGCGTAACAACAAAGCTCCCGGGGAAGATGGGATCCCGGCGGAAGTCTACAAGGCCCTGCCCGACATCTTCGCTCCGTGGCTTCACAGGGTCTTCAATGCGGTGTGGACCACGGAGACTGTTCCTGATGACTGGGGACACGCTGTTTTGCTGCCATTCTTTAAGAAAGGTGACAAGAAGGTGTGCTCCAACTATCGGGGAATCAGTCTGCTCGATGTAGCGGCCAAAACCTTCGCAGTTCTGCTGCTGAAGCGATTCCAGACGGCTCGAGACGCCCGCACGCGTCCCACCCAATGTGGCTTCCGCCCGGGGAAAGGGTGTGTGGATCAGATCTTCAACCTGAGGCGCACACTCGAGCAGCGCTGGGCCTACCAACAACCAACGGTCCTGTGCTTCATCGACTTCGCAGCTGCGTTCGATTCGGTCGATCGAGATGCACTGTGGAAAGTTATGCTGGCGGACGGCATCCCTGTGAAATTGCTTCACCTTATCCAGGGGTACTATCGAGCTACGCGGGTGCGGGTGCGGGTCTACGGTGAGGAATCGGAGCCCTTCGACGTCAGGTCCGGAGTCCGACAGGGATGTGCCCTCTCACCCACCCTCTTCAACTTTGCCATCGGCTTCATCCTCAACACTGCCCTCCGCGGCTACTCAGGTGTGTCGGTCGGTAGAGATGTAGAAGTGTCGGACTTAGCCTATGCCGATGACATCGTCCTTCTGGGGTCCTCGATTGCAGACGTCGAAAGTGTTCTCGAAAGAATTCACAACGCGGCCCGCTCTGTGGGTATGCGTATTAATGCATCGAAGACCAAGGTGCTTTTCTCCCTAGTCCCACCAGAAGCCCAGCGCCCCATCTCGCTGGACGGTGTCAACCTGGAGGTGGTCGAGTCGTTTGTCTACCTAGGATCGGCTTTGGTTGCATCCGGACAAGGAGTGTGTGAGGTGGAACGTCGGATGGGCGCGGCGAGATCTGCTTTCGCCCGCCTCCGGCGCTGCCTGTGGAACCGGAGAGAGATCTCGGCCACCACGAAAGGGCGGATCTTCCAGGCGATCATTCGCTCTATCCTCCTATATGGGTGTGAAACCTGGCCGCTCAGGGTGGTTGACCAGCGCAAACTGGAGGTGTTCGACAACGACTGCCTCCGTCGCATCCTGCACTGCCGACGCGTCGACCGGGTCCCTACCACCGAGCTCCGCCGCCGCCTCGGCCTACGCCCTCTGCCCGCAGTCCTTCTTCAACGGCGTCTCCGATGGTTCGGACACGCTGCGCGCCGGTCGAGAGGGGAGCTGATACGGGACGTTCTCCTTCCCACACCGCCGTCCACCTGGCGGAAGCGGATAGGCGGACAGTTGAAGACGTGGGCCTCAACGATCAAGGAGGATCTGGCGTTACTTTCCGGCCCGTATGTGGTCGGCCTCCGCCGCTGGAACCGCGACTGGCTTACCATCTCGTGCGACCTCGCGACAGACCGACGGGCGTGGGCAGCAATGGTCTGTGATGCGGTGCGTCAACAGGAAGAAGCCGGCTCAATCCGCCCAGGGTGAATGCCGCATCAAAACAAGACAAGAAGAAGATAGATTGAAAGCAAAAGTGGCAGAGGAAAGCAACGCATGACCTACCTACTGAGCTTGAGTGAGTGGATGGCAAAACTTGGTTTTTAACAAAAAGACAAAAATTATTAAGAAATAGTGCATAGCCATGATCGCCTGTCTTGAAGGGACACGACACATAGAAAAAGAAGAAGAAGAAGAAGAAGAATGATTCCTTATGCAAAATACTGTGCTACATTTGGTTTCATACTGCAATTTGAATGAACTACAAAACTCCCTTTCTTATCCATTGTTATATGGTGAAGTACTTATACCGTATATTCTTTATATATATTCTAATATTCTCAGTTTTATACTTGCTTTGCTGTTAACGTATAGCAAAATAGTGATTTTACTCTATATTCGTTTAACCCATCATTTTAGCTCAGTAAATGGCGACATTAATAAGCTTCTCTTTTTCATGTATAATTTCTATTTAATCTTGAATTTTTGGTGGTTTTTGTGCTTTTGTGGCGAGTTGGGGGTCTTTTTTTTACTCGGTATTACTTGTATTTTGTTTCTTCTTTGTGTCCCATATAAAATTTGATATAAAATAAACAGACAAGGACTGGCATGTAAAATCGATCAACCAACATCATTTTTTTTTCTCTACCTTTCTTTACTTCTATCCATTTTCTTGTGAAAACTCATTCATATTTCCTTCTTTAAAATTCCTTCGAAACTACTTTAACTTTTTCTCTCTTGATTTTTCTTCTTTTTCTACTTTTGCCTCCTTTATTCATTCTTTCTTTTTTTTTTCTTTGTTTTCAATCATTCGCTTCTCTCTCTTTTATTCCTTTATTCTTTATTCCATTCTTTCCTTCTTTATCTTTCGTCTCCCTTTCTTTTGTCTCTCGTTTTCCTCCCTTTTTTGCTTTCTTTTTTTCCGTTTTTTTCTGCATTTTTCCCCTTCTTTGTTTTTATATCTGTTATTCCATTTTAGTAATCGCTGGGTAAGTAGGGTCGTAATTATCGGAGTGGAAATTGAATTAGCGCGCCGAGTACAACATCCACGTCTGCTACGTCCGCTTTCGCACAAATACCCGTGAAAATGTATGAATGTATTGCTTCTCCTCTTTACTATGGGTTAAATAGCAGATCCGACTAGGCTCGCTAGCTTTGGTTCGCAATCAGCCTAGGAAAATGAAAACTCTGAATCCCAAAAATGTGGTGCATAGAATTCCTACTATGGAAAAAACTTCTTGTTAGAGAAACCCCAACAGTAACGTTGAACAGGATTAGTCTGTGGTCCTGTACTCCACTAAAGTCTACAGGATTAACATTCATGTAAAACCATGTCATTTTTTTTTTTAATCGTCAGACCTTCTTGTCTGCAATTAAAAGGTTTTATTTGTATAGTTTATTCATCTTTTCAAGGTTAGGATCTGACAAGACGAAAAAAAAACAGGTTATATCTTGAAACACAGCATTCGAAATTTCAACTTTTAAATAGACTCGCACCTCTAAAATCATTAAGAGAAACACAACTATCTCATCTCCGAAGCAAATCTTCCATTTTCTTTCTTATTTTGTTGCCTTTGCCTCTTGTGGTTTTTCCTTTAATTTTTCTCAAAAAAATCTTTACATCTCAAGATTTGATTCCTTTCTTACGATTGCTACAGAATTCTGTAATTTATAAATTATAAACATTTTTGTCAAATTATATTCATTTAATAGGCTTCTTTTATCTGCTACAATTTAACAGATGATATACAGCGGAGATTTTACTATTACATTGATGTACTGTACAATTTAATGCGCAAATATATTATAGTATCTTTCCCTAAATTAAATTAATATATATATATATATATATATATATATATATATATATATATATATATATATATATATATATCGACAAACCATGGTAGCAGTGGGTGTGCCCAGGGCCTGACCGAGACTGGGGCTTCAGGCAATTGTTTTCATTTCAGAGTTATCCTTCTGCTGGATTTGTCACATTGGTAAGGTTAATGAACCAAGACTGTTCTGCTATTTAACCGATAGATGGAAAAAGACGTATCGATGCCGTGAAATAAAGAGTCAGTCTGAATATGAATTATATCTAAAATATAGATAATCAAACTGTATTCGGATTATTTCTAGAGTATTAATCATCAGACACGTTTTATCAAAATTACCCTCAATAAAAGGCTCGAGAGCCAGTCAAAATGGAGTTACTGTTAAAATGGTAATGATTAATGAGAGGTGTAAAATAAAGGGGGTGTGGGAAGTAAAGATTATAAACATAAGGAGGATAGATAACGACATACTTGACCTGAAGAGGTTAAGATTTCAGTCTTCAATGAATCGTCGTTGTGACTGTTCTTGGGAAAGAGTTGTTTGAGTAAAGGTCTAAACTGTTACGGTTACAGAATGAATCTCATCTGAACATTCGCCATGGAAATAGCGAGAGTGTAGATATACATCTACGATGTGGCATCTGTAAGAAAGAAACAAAGCGGAGAATAAGTGTTTAGAATTCTATCAAAGGAGAAAAAAACTCCAGGAAACATCATTCAAAAAAGAAATCGTTATTGGATTAACTATCAGGTCATCCCATAAGTTCTGTCCTAATTTTAACTTTTTGTTAAAATGAACGAAATTTAAAGAGTATTTTATAATGTCTAATGGAGCTGAACATTATTTTTATGTTTAGATACATTTAAACTGATCAAATTTTATTTCAGAGAACAATAAAATTAAATTTTGTTTGATTAAAACCCTGCTAACATGGAAGTACCCAAGAATCATTTGAGACACATAATGCTTTATGAGTTCAAGAAAGGAAACTCAGCAGCCGAAGCGGTTAGAAACATTCACTCAGTTAATGGAGAGGAATGTGTGAATGAAAGAACTTGCAGAAGATGGTTTGCAAAATTCAGAGGTGGAGATTTCACCCTTGAAGATGAAGATAGAACCGGACGTCCAGTTGAGTTTGAAGCAGCCCTTGAAGAAAATCCTGCTTTATCAGTCGAGGAATTGGAAGTGGTTCTCACTTCAAACCATACAACTGTTCATCGTCATCTTCAACAATTTGGAAAAGTTCCTAAACTTGGAAAATGGGTGCCTCATGAATTGTCTGAAAACAACCTCAAATCCCGAGTTGACATCTGCTCTTCTCTCCATACTCGCCAACTTGTTTCACCTTTTTTGGATAGACTTGTGACTGGCGACGAGAAATGGATCTTTTATCGAAATGTTAAGCGTCGTGGACAGTGGCTTGGTAAAGGGGAAGGACCCCAGCCACAGCCGAGAAGGGAACTTCATGGGCAAAAGGTTCTTCTTTCAATCTGGTGGGATCGCCAAGGAATAATCCACTTTGAATTCTTACCACCTAATGCAACAATTAATGCTCAAATATACTGTCAGCAATTAGAGCGTTTGAACCAAGCTTTGAGGAAAAAACAACCTGCTCTAGTGAATCGAAAAGTTGTGATGTTTCATCAGGATAATGCGCGATCCAACACAGCAAGAATCACGTCAGAAAAGATCGAAGAACTTGGTTGCGAGAAAATTCCTCATCCACCTTATTCTCCCGATCTTGCTCCTTCAGACTACCATTTGTTTCGTAGCTTACAGAATCATTTGGAAGAAACAGCTTTTGTAACACAGGAAGAGGTTAAAACTGACATTTGTGAGTTCTTCGAATCAAAGCCAAAAGAATTTTACAGTAATGGAATTAGTAAGCTTGTTAATAGATGGAAGGAAGTCATAGATAATCAGGGAAAATACATTGTTGATTGAATCTGTAATTAAATGTAACATTTGGTCACTTGTTTTCTTTATTCAAAATTTGGACAGAACTTATGGGATGACCCAATATTTTGAAAACATAACTGATCTTGATTAAATTTTTCTGTTTCTTATTACTTTGCTTAGCTTCTGCAATGCACGATTCGCTAATCTAATGCGTGATATACAGCCTCTTATATATTAGTCTTTGCTAAACAATATCCCCACAGTTGAAGCGAAAACTAGAGGCAAGAGAAATGCCGATCTACAGAAGGATACTGAGAATTCCATGGACAGAACGAGTATGCAACGTGAAAGTCTGAAGAAAATTGGTTACAAAAGAATAAAAAAAGA